TTATGGCATTACCCTTGAAATTAATTATGGTAAAATTCCAGTTGTTTTCATTAATTTGATGTTAAAAAGGGAGATTGAGAGGACAACTGTATCTGTGTGACATCTCTTATTCAAAAGATGCTTAACCCAAAACATTCTTATCTCTACATTTGAGTTGAAGTAGCCCTTTGTTCCCTGTCTGTATAAATCATCTCATTCTAGACTCTGTATTAATATTGTCAAATCAAGATAAAAGCTGGACAAACATGTGTTTCAAAATACTCAGGTATGTTAGTTGATGAAGATGAAATATGAATCTGCAGGCCTGTTTTTTTTAGAGCTGGTAGCCTTTGTTTTCACAATTTCTTCTATCTCTGTGTAGTTGAGAATCCCAGAGTTCCTTCTGGTTGAAAGCAAATACTGAATTTTGTGTTGTTCACAGAACATTGGTTATCACGTTCTTTACTTTTAATGATTCTGCTTTAGGCAACTGTCAATTAATCTCTGGAGGGACCACCATGAAGAATTTCCGTAATTAGATTATAATGCAAAGGTTTGCTTAGTCACAATATTTAAAAATTTTTAATTATGATTTCTGGGCTATGACCCCAATCTTCCCATCTTTTACATTCAACTGCCTTTTTAATGCTGGCTTTCTTTAATTTCTTTTATTGGGTTCATTCTCTTTTTAAAGTTTGTGAGCATAATTAAAACTACCCTACCTTTGAGAACCCTCTATCCTTACCTAGCAGAATAAATGAAATATGGATACAATGACTGAGCATATAAATTATTTCTAAAAAAGAAAATTCCTTTTACATAAAGCTTTTTGATTCCCTTTAATTTTTTTTCATTCCAGAGCTTGATGGCTATTTTTTTTCTCTGTAGTCCAGTGATCTTGTTATTAAAGCATTCTGGTAATGGTAATTTAGCACACATGCCTCATAATTATTAACCAAGTTCTACTACACTCAAATACCAAATACTGCAGGTTGGTAAATCATTTTGCAAATGACCCTTCCTTCCACTAGAAAAATATATTGTAGGCGTGGAAGGGCCAAGAGGGTTCTTAGTTGTCCTGAGTGACATTTAACAATTCTGCAAAAGGAGTAGAAATAGCTTTGGATCTTTTGTAACAAATATTCATAAGTATAATAAGGATGCCACTCTGGCTGTAGATTCTCATAAATCAATGACATTAAAAGCTTGTACAGAACAATTTATATGAGAAAGTGATGTGATATGATTAATACAATAGAGGCAACCCTTGACCTAGAGGAAAGGTTATGAGGGTGGGGCAGGGAAGAAATACACAAAAAACTTTGGTTGAAACCCACAAGCACACTTGACTACAAATCTTTGGAATGCATTAAACAAAATATCATTTTTTAAATTGCTAAAGTCTTTGAGAATCATAGCACAGTATACAAATGTTTATGAAGTTAAGATTTTAAAACCATGGATGACATCACATTTAATTAGATGAAACAGAATCAAGGAATTCTATTCATCATTAAATATTTCCTCATTATATACAGAGGGGTACTGAGATTAGAGGTATCTCCAAGAACTTGCCTAAGGTCATATAACAAGCAAATATCAGGTTATAGTGAACTCAAGGATGAAAAATAATATAAGCATTATAAAAAAATTTTTTTGGTGCCATTAGGAAAAAAAGTAGGTACAGAGCAACACTATGTACGAACTGATATAATTTGGCCTGAAGCTCATGCAAGACCACAGCTGGGTGCTTCATAACAACAACTTTCTGTTTTTACTTGAATTTGGGATAAAATATGATATTTGTGTGTTTAGGATAAGTTCATTTTAGGACAAAGTTTTGAAGAATTCAAAATTAATCTTTCTGTTTGTTCCCTAGCCCCCAAAAATCTAAACCTTCAACTCCTGCCCTCCCACTCCCCTGCCAAAAAAAAAAAATCATATAAATGTATCAAATCAAATTAACCAAAACAGCTATGACATTTAACAGAGCTATTCATATATTTCAAATGAATTCTAATTTCTTCTGATTTTAATTATCAGGAAAATTGCTCAGTGTCACTATTTTCTTTTGAGGTCAGTCCATTGGACTCTTTAAATATATATATTTCTTGAAAAGAAATGTGTTTTATACTGTCTGTTTCAGGTTGGACCAGGTAGACTTGGGGAAAAATGGATGGCACTTTTTCAGTCGTTTTATTTTATTTAGTTTTTTAGTCATTTATATTTTATAGTGGTTATGATTTGTGATAAGTTTATGTGTATTAAGTCGAACTGCACACAAAATTTAGAAAGTGTGGGCTAGGAATGTAGTTCAGTGGTAGCAAGCTTGCCTGGCATGTGCAAGGCCCTGTGTTCAATCCCCAGTACAGAAAAAATTAGAAAGATGTCTGAAAGTATCTTAATATGAATGAAGTCTTAAAAAGAATTGGCACAAATACTATACTCCTTAAGGATAATCATACTTTTGTTCTACCCTGGTGGAGATCATGGTTGATATACTGTATTCTAAGAGTGCATTTTAGAGTAGTGTAAAACTTTAAATGGAAGAATGTATAAAAGATTATGTTCTTATTACTTTTGTTTTTAAAGAAAACAATAGGAAAGAAGGTGGGCCGTCCTTTTATGGCACAGAATTATGCCATTAAAATTGGAGAGGTTTAGCAGAAACAATAAGTTTTTTAGTGTTACTTGGTGGTTGCAGGTTCTTTTCTGATGATACTACTCGAAATGAAGACTCCAGCAAAGATACAAAAAATGACAATCCACTGCTGCTTTATATCTCAGGATATAAAGTATCTTGTAGGATCTGGTAAGAGTTGAATGACTGGGCAGAAGGTCTCAGGTCATTAACATAAAGAGCTCTTTGGCACCCTGTGTCATAGAACAAAGTGTCTTACCAGTTCCCATTACTAGGTTCCTGTGGTGCTTTTCTTAAATAATCAGTCCCATTCAGACAGAGATTTTAAGGCCCTTGAACATCTATTTCACTAGCAGTAATTTTTTATGGCTAAATGGCTCTGGAGGCAGAATGTGTTTGAAGCAAGGCTTAGAAAAGAACTTGCTGTATCCCAAAGCTGGCCTTTTTCTTTTTTGTTTCCCAAAGGTCAAACAGAAGTCCAGCTCTGATAGTACTGTATTTGGCCATCCAGGTACCATTCCCTCCAGCTCCATACTCCAGCTTGATAGGGCCCTGAGGTTGTTTACAAATAGAGATCTGTTTTAGAATGGCCTCAGAAATCTTAGAAGGTGGAATCAGACCAAGCCTTGTTTGCTCTACTTTGGTCTCAAATATAGGTGCCCCAAGATTTTAATCTTTCTTCTTTAAACTTTTTTAAAACATGAAAAACCCAGTAAATTTTGAAAACAGTCAAACCAAAAAGAACATTGCAACCATGCTATTTACATAAATCTATTATTTCTAAAGTGGACTTTCAGTGCCCCATTTAGAAAGTATGCTTCAACACCTTACTCTGCTTTTGCCCTTGTGAATTTCAAGGTCACACTGACAGAGTATAACTTTTGAGATCAGGAGAGCTTCCTCTTTACGGAGCTATTTTTAGTGGAAGGTAGGAAAGCCACAAAGCTCAAAAGTAGGTATGTCCCATAGTAGAAACTAATTCGGAGGCTTTTGGAGATCTTACTCTCAGCAGGGCTCCTTTTGCATCTGCTTCAGGAGAGGGTATTTCTGCTGACTGTCACTGCCAAGTTGGGGAGAGGGTAACTTGTTTCCTCCAGGGAATTCAGCCTGTAGTCACCCTGACACATCCTGTCTGAAAGGTACATTGTTTAGTCCTGGATTGACCACAGTAGAATCCACAGAGCCTGGGGTGTTCTATACCCATACTCAATGAGACTCACCCGCTTGATTCTATCTTCTACAAACTTGGGCCCCTGAGATAAATTTTAACCCAATTATTACAAAATGTTATTCTGCAGTGTGTATCACTCCAGACTAGACTATGGTGAAAGGCAGGCTTGGAGAAGTAACCTGCAGAGTGGGGGAAAAGAGAAATACCCTCAGTCACACTTAAGACTTATGGCCTGAGTCTGTGCATGCTGAAAAGGCGTTGGCAACCCGGCTTACACTAGAAGGGCCTAACTAACGAGTCTGGAATCTCAGGGGATACTGGGGAAGCTGGTCCGATGGTTGTGCGCTGGGGAGGATGGAGGGAAGAAGAATAAAACAGGATTTGAGGGATAATTGTGGGGGGCCAGGTAGAAAAATAAAGATGCTGAGACACACAGAGAGAAGCAGAAGGGAAGTAAAAAGACACCAAGGGACTGAGACATGAACGGTGGGAATGAAAGAGGAGAGACCAACAACGCACAGACGATAGATAGACAGCAACCTCAAAGGAATGATAGAGAAACTCAAGAGTCAGAGACAGAGCACAGAGGACGAGTATAGGAGACTGATGGGAGGTGTCCCTATGAAGGGAGGTGGCAATGGCTCCAAACATCCCGCATTCTCGCTCGGCCCAGCCGGCGAGTGGAGTCCAGAGAGTCCAAGGTCGTCCAGTCCTCTCCGCCGCCGCGCGCTGAATGGCTGGCAGTCCGCGGCACCCCCGCCTCTGGCCACGCAGCCACAGGTCCGCGGTGCGTCGGTGCCCCGCCCGAAGTCGACAGGGGCGCCCCGCACTCTCCCGGGCGGGTTCTTGCCCTATGCACCTCCCCACCACTCTGCCCGCGGTTACTGGGGAGAGGGCGCTGCAGCCACCAGAGGCACCGCAGGAGCTACTTCTTCCTGCTGGCCCAGTTAGCCGAATGTCGAAGAGTGGGATCTATTTACTTGGGGTATTAATGAATCTTTGAGAAACCGTTCACACACGTGCCAATGTAATCGTCGGTGTCAGGAATCTACACACGCCAAGCCGCGGCCCTGCGGAGAAACCATCACCGCCGCGCGGGGAAACCTAGAGATCTGCAGAGCGTCCCCCGGTGGCCGGGCAGGGCCACGACTCCCCCATCCCCTCCCCGCAATCCGCCCCCCCCCCACCACCCGCCCAGCGGTTCCAGGGCTTCTCAGTGTCGCGGGTAAAGCAGCTGCTGCCTTGTATGCCCACAGCCTACAAATTCTCACCACCCCAACCCTCCTTTAGAAACTAGGACTGTCCGTGTCTGCTGTTTGGCTTTTTTTTTTTTTCCTTCCCTTCCAAAAGGCCAGTATCTTATCTCTCAAGTTCAAGTTCCGAGGACTTGCCCAGTCTCCTCCCCTTCAATCATTTTTACCATCCTCTGGCATCCGCGGAAAGCTGGGAATCCTGGGCTGCTGGTCCCAGTGCCAGCTTTGGCAGTCCCAGTCTGTCCGGCACAGCAGCCCGGCGCATTCTCTTTTCTCCCTCCCATTTTTCTTCCTCCCTTTTATTCTTTTCTTTCCTCCTCTACTTCCCCCTCCCTCTTTTGCCTCTTAAGTTTCCTGCACCGTGAATCCAACTGTGCCAAGCCTGGGCTCTCGCGAACCAATCCAGAGCGCGACCCGGGCATTGGGACGCCGACTCCGCCAAGGCTGGAGGAGGCAGCTGGACCCGTCCTCGCCCGAGCATGGAGACGGAGCTCCAGGGAGGGCACGTCCGGGGCGCTGGAGACGCCAGGCCCGAGTAGCTCCTCCATGGAGCCTGCCCAGAGCGGTCAGTGCTCGCCGGATTATCCTCCAGTCCTGTGTGGTAGGTACCCTTCGCCTTCACTGTTTCCAGAAGGGACACCTTGGGGCAGGGTCGTAGAAGCCAGTAAGGAGCGGCAGGGAGGGGGAGAGAGCATGCCTGGCAGGTGAGCCTCCCAGCCCCTGGCAGGTTGGTACTCTAGAAGTTAGCAACTGGCTGTGCCCCTTGACTAGCAAAAAGTAGCGCTAGTGATGTGATGTTGTGTATGTGTATGTATATCTGTATGTGCAGGGGACTCGAATGGGTAAACTGAGCCCTGCTTTCCTATATGCAAATTGCAACCCTTTCCCCACCCCCACTTCAGCGATCGTGTTGAGATATCCAGCACCTAATCCTGGTCAGTTCTACCTACCCCTTTCTTTCACCGCGCCCCCTCGCTCAGTCTCTCTCCCTCTCTCTTTCTCTCTCTCTGCTGGTGTGTACGTGTGTGAGCCTTGCCAGGGCTGGCGAAGAACCAGCCGCCGCCTCTTGTCCGAGCTGCCGGGCTATCAAACGTTAGGGCAGGACTCGCTGCCAGAAACAGTTGGGCTCTGAACCAGCCTGCACGCGGCTCTGTGTGCCCAAAGCCTCCGGCCTCTGCCGCCCCGGAACTCACACCCAAGAAGCGCAGGGCGCAAGGAGCCCCTCACCCTCCCGCCAGCCCGCCTGCCTGCGGACTGCGCGCTCGCTCATTTCAGACGCTGGATTTACTCGCTTTCCAATTTTTCGCACCCCCATCTCAGTTTTTTTTTTGGTCCACCCCTCCCCTCCGCGACCCCCTTTCCCCGCTTGATCGCCAAGCCTAACCTTGCCCGCGTGGTCATGGGTTGTCTAATTTCATTTGTATCTAGGCTGCTGAGAGCGCTCCTTGCTCTGTAAAGTGGATGTCAGGTGGATCTATGTTTTTGAAGGAACAAAGACTCAGCGAAGGCACCGCCAAGGAAGTTTGAGACGCGGGAGGATGCAGGCTGCGTGCTGGTACGTGCTTCTCCTCCTGCAGCCCACGGTCTACTTGGTAAGTCGCGGCGGGTCGGGCGCCTCTGAAATTCCTCGCGGTCCGGGAGACCAGGCAACTGGGGGCGCGCGAGAGGAGTGTGAGGCCGCCAGTTCAGTGAGAACAGTGTTCCTAGTGACTGTGTTGGAACAACTTTGGGAAGCTGGTCTCTAAATTCCTGCTGGATTTTCTGGGGGGTTCTCACCCCCATAGCCTTCTCCAGTTTCCCTTTTCCTGAGTGTGGTTGTAAACTGCCGACGGGGCACCCCAGACATCCAGAAACCAAAGAAGTGGTGGGACTAGATAGTTTTGAGGGAGAGGGCAAAGAAGAGGGGTGGAAGGCATGGCATTTTTAGTAGTTCATCCACAGAGTTTAAGAGAAAGGAAATGGGAATGGGGTTAAGGGGCTGAAAGCACAAATCTGCCTAAGTCTGTGACTTTGAAATTCAATGTACCCACCCCCTCCACCAGTTTGGAGATGTGGCACATAAAGAAGTGCAGGTAACTTACTTTGACTGGGGTGGGGGGAGTTCAGACAGGATTTAATTCAGCTACTACCATGAACACTATAAATCAGAGCTGGGTCAGAGATACTCCAGCAAGGTGCCCCACTCCAGTTCCTTTCAAAAACCTTTTCCATCAAATATCAGAACCCGGGTTCAAGTGCCCACCTTCTTATGAGAAAATGACGAGGCCTTGTCTCCAGGGAGATAATCCTAAACAAAGCCTCTGTCAGGGTCCACCCAGAATAGTTTTCCGGGATTAGGACTTTGCACGGTGTAGGAACTCACTCCAGGGAGAAGGGCTTTGTTGTGAATTGGGAACTAAAGACACCACCAGAGTAGAGTGCACTTTCCCCGGATCTGGCTTTTGGAGGGCCAGGGACACTAGCACTCTGCTGGTGAAGCTGTACTCTGTGAAAAAACAAAAACAAAACCAAAACCCAACAGTGGGTCATGGGCTGCAGAAGTGTGCCCAGGACTCACTGTGTTCTGCCTAGGGTTGAGGAGAATTGGAACTGCCTGTATTACTAGTGAGGCTGGATAAATGGGATTGGAGGTGGTGCTGGTGCCCCTGAGCCCCAAGATCTTCAGAATCCTTATAATCCTGGGAGCAATAAGGTTGCCATCCTGCAATTGTCTGCGTTTCTCAGGTTTCTCGGTCAGCCTTTGCCCTGGTACATGTGACTGCAGGGCTTCGAGTTGTGTGAAATTTATTTATTTATATATGAGAGAGAGAGAGAGAGAGAGAGAGAGAGAGAGAGAGAGAGAGAGAGAGAGAGAGAGAGAGAGAGAGAGAGAGAAGACAAGAGAATATGAATATGTGTATTTAACAGGCTCCAGCTTCAGTTTCAGATCCCTGTCTTTGCACCTTTATCTCCTGACCATAGCAGCCGCGGACGCCAGAGGGCGCTGCGCATCAGTGTCCTCGCCCACAGAACACCTTGGGGTAAACAGGTGAAAGCCTGGGCAGCCAATCCAAAAGAACAGCTTCTCTGACTCTGTCACTGAAGTCTGTGCCTTCCACCGCTAGAACGCAGACGGAATGCAAAGAGTGTCCTTCCCAATTCCCATTTTCTATCCTTTTCGCCCCCACCTGTGTCTAGTTAGCCCACTGACATTGAGAGCCTAAAGTTGGAGGGCAGAAAGTTTGGTCAGAGGAAATACATATTTTCTTTCTCTCTTCTTTTTCTTTTTAAATTGAGGGATAGGGGAGGGAATGTACAGTGAAAGCTACAGAGAAGGAATATTAACGATTCCCTTGACCGTCGTAACCCGCCTGCCCCTCTCCTCTGCATGCCTTTACGCATGACCTGAACCTCAGGACCGTTCTTGCGTCCTTGGGCTGTGCTCACACACACGGCAAGGGCTCCTGGCTACGGTGCAGTTTATTGCTTGAAGCAAGTATTTCGATAGTCTGGAAAATAATCTATCAAAAGCAGAAGTGAAATCAATACGTTGTGTTAAATTTTAAATGTGTTTGTTGGCAGTTAAACCGTTTTCCACTCATTACAACAACAGTGCTGGATTTATTCTAATGCGCTGCGTTCTCAACAACAAGAGCATTAATTCTCCTTTAATTGTAAACTGGGAGCATTTGAAAACCATTCAGTGTGCAAATTATGCTGATTCAATTACCGTTTAGTTACAGACTTCATTACCTGAATGCCTTTTGGCAATACAGAGAAAGGAGACAATTTTTCCAATTTCACTCAAAACAATACGATATGTGAACAATAAAATAGAGAAGACGATTTAGAAGTCCATTCTTTTCTCTCCAATCTAAAGTAGTTTTGTGTGTAGGGGATTAGAAAACAAACACACACCACAAAAACAAAAGGCTGGTGGCCATGACCCAAAGCAGTATTTCCAGTATTGTAATCCCATGGTTATTTCCCAGCAAAATTCCAAGCTGTTTTCCTGATGAAGGAGGAAGCTGACTTTTACCATGGAAATGAATATAAAGGGTGAACTGGGCAGTCAAGTCAGGATGGTTTTAGGCAAATAAAGAAGCAGGGAACCTTGATTAAAACTCTAGGGCAATGAACAGACCAAGAAGTGATCAAGGCTTCTTTGTCCATCTATTGTATTGAACACAAGACATAGTAACTGAATCTACCATTTATTTGTAGTTGCACACCAAATCATCTCAGCCTTTTGCAAAAATCTGCAATAAATGCATACAGGTTGTCAGGAGCTGCTTCAAATTATACCCCAAGAAGGCAAGGGTGGCAAAGCCATTATTTTATTTTTTCTTTGAACTGGCATGAGCTAGAGAGGAATTGAATAAGTAATTTTCTGTCTCCCTGAGCTCACACCACTACCTAAATGACTGGAACACTCTATATATGCCTTGCTTTCTAGCTAATACATCTAGCATACCTTCTTTTGTGTTCGTGGAATCCCAGTTGTTTCCCAAGGAATAATTAACACATTATGCCCAGGGAGCAGGACACGTTTAAATATGTTTTATACAGAAATATTCAAGTTTTTGCCTGTAAAAGATAACTTAAATATCTCCAAATTTGGGGGAAATTTCTTATGGAAAAAAACTGTCTAACCAGCAAATAAATGGCCAATACTTAAGCCACAATTTCTGCCTGTATCTTTGAGAACCTTTATCAGGTTTGAGAACCTTTATCAGGTTTAAGAACCTGATAAAGGTTCTCAAAGTATGTTTCTTGGCCCAAGATTCTCTGAATACCTTTTCTAGGTTGAGGATTTTGAATCTCTTTGTGTTTTCGGAAAGATGGGTCTTTCCTAGTTCTTATTAGAGGCTTAATCTGGTATTATATTGGGAAGCTAATTAGAAATACATTTGCAAAGGTACCTTTTGAAGCACATTTGTTATAATACTCAAATATCACCAAGGGGTACATTCTAGTCATAGATGTACAGTGATAGAAAACCTCTTAAAAATTAAGGTAAGGAAAATTTCAGTGTACTAAACGTTTTATATTGCAGATTTAAATATCTGAAATCAATAGGAGAGAAACTTATGGTTTAACTTGCTACAATTATTTGTATAGTCCTACTATCTTTATTCTCTTGTAAGTTCTGGACTAATTCCAGGGTATTTTCAGTATGATATAATGGGATAACAGTTCAGCATTTTATCTATATTGAAACACATACTGGGATAAAGTAGAAAAATATGATTTCTTGTTCTAAAGAATGGGGCGAGGTCCTAAACTGAGTTACTCTTAGTGGATCAAGCTGTAGGACAGGGCAGGGAATAGGGAGAGTATTTTCCAGTAGAATATGTGGTATTCTGTTTGGGGGCTCACCTATGGTAATTCTCAGATAAAGAACTGAGTCAAATGAACACTTTCTAATCATGCCAATGAAAAAGTTACACAGAAATTGAGTCCAGATTATCTGACAAAGGGTAGAAGATGTTTTCTCTTTCCCCTCCCTCCCTTCCCCCTCTCTCTCTCTTCCTTCCTTCCTTCCTTCCTTCCTTCCTTCCTTCCTTCCTTCCTTCCTTCCTTTCTTTCTCTTTCTTTCTTTCTTTCTTTCTTTCTTTCTTTCTTTCTTTCTTTCTTTCTTTCTTTCTTTCTTTTCTATCAGTCATACATTCATAGCACTAATCTAACAAGAAAAGCTTCTACCAGTTCTGCTAGAAATTCAAATAGCTAATAATCAAGTTGCTTTTTAAATAAAAATGAACAAGAATTGAAAACCCTTTCTAAACCTTGTGTCACAATACTTTGAATCATCTATTCGCTCAAATTTAGGGTGTCCTTACAATGTAAATTCTACATCATTTGTTCAATTGAGATTAAAAAGAGGATTAATGCATCCACAGGATCACTACCTGTGCACTACCTATTTGCCTTTGGTTATAAGGCAAGCCATTTGCGTAAATTCCACTCATTATGGCAGTGGTTGTCTAAAAATATGGAGACTGGGGGAAAGCAGAAGGAAAGAAACTACCACTGTCTGTTCTTTGAAGAAGGCATGTGTATTTCCTGTCCTTTGAAAATTAAGCTAGCTCCTCATTGGAAATTTTACTCAATTTGAGCTTATTGCCAAAAATAAAGTAAAAATGGATTAGCTACCTAACAGTAACTTTAAGTATTTTCTATGAAGGCTAGTTCATAGAGACAGTACTAGAGTTTTCCTATAGCACATTTCCTGACTTTTCTACCCAAGACCAACCTTCTAGACACAGAATTAAACCTAGATTTTTAGAGGGGCCTATGTCCCAGTAGCACAACAGGAGAACTCATGAGCCCCACAGGAGTACTCCAGAGCTTTGTAGGACAGGGAAGAAGAAGTTCCTACTATTCCAGGCATTTTCCTGAAATGCCCAACTCTCCATTGACCAGGAAAGCAGCTCTTTAAAGTGTGTGAGAAGTACTTGGATGGGTTGCCCTTTTGCCCCATTTCCACAAGTATTATGTTGGGGCCTTCTAGTGACAGCTTCAGGAAAACTGCCTTCAGTATTAGAGGGACAAAACCAGAATTGCTGCAACTCTGTTAGCAGTGTTTTCCCAGAAACCTATTAAATTCGTGGCT